TGTCCTTTACTTCTTCTCCAAGTGCTTTGAGATCATTGACAAGCACTTGAAGCCTATGGAACATCTCCGGCACACTCTCATCCTCCTTCATCTTGAAGCTTGCAAACTTCTCTTTAAGAATGTATGCCTTTGCACTCTTTACGGCTTGAGTACCCTCAAATGATTCTTCCAACTTCTTCCAAGCCTCATGAGCCATCTCAATATTCTTGATTTGCTCAAATGTTCTCTCATCAATTGCATCATGAATAGCACTTAGAACAATGTCATTGTTTTGGAGAAGCACTTCTTCGGCCGCGGTGGGATTCTCCGGATCTTCAATCTCAATTTTGGTTTCTACCACCTTCCACACCTTTCTATTGATTGACTTGATATGTGTGGTCATCTTTGACTTCCAATAAGGATAATTTATGCCATCAAATTGGGGTGGCTTCTTGGTGTTGTTGATTTGAGCTATTTTTACACCGAAGGTTGTTAAGCCTCAAATCGCGGTGACCTCAGCTCCGATACCACTTGAAAGGTCCTAATGGCTAGAGGGGGGGTGAATAGCCTAATAAAATTTCTACAACAACACTTAACAAAAGGATTAGACAATAATGAAGCGAAGCGAGTTTTACGCTAGCCTACCAAAATACAAGCCACCTACCACAATTTTAGTTTAGATGGAGTATATCCACACAATAGCTATATCACTACACTAAGTTAGTGTGCTCTCAAATGCTAACTAAAGAGCCACACTAACCAAACTAACAAGCTCTCACAACTAGTTACACTAAAGACCTTGACAACTAGTTTGCGGTAATGTAAAGAGTAGGCAAGAAGGTTATACTGCCGTGTAGATGTATTAACCAATCAATCACAAGTGTGGATAACAATGAAGACCAATCACCTCAGAATCAATGATGAACACAATGATTTTTTACCGAGGTTCACTTGCTTGACGGCAAGCTAGTCCTCGTTGTGGCGATACACTCACTTGGAGGTTCACGCGCTAATTGGCTTCACACGCCAATTCCTCAATAGGGTGCCGCACAACCAACACAAGATGAGGATCACACAAGCCATGAGCAATCCACTAGAGTACCTTTTGGCACTCCGCCGGGGAAAGGTCAAGAACCATTCACAATCACCACGATCGGAGCCGAAGACAATCACTACCCTCCGCTCGACGATCCTTGCTGCTCCAAGCCGTCTAGGTGGCGGCAACCACCAAGAGTAACAAGCAAAATCCACAGCGAAGCACGAACACCAAGTGCCTCTAGATACAAACACTCAAGCAATGCACTTGTATTCTCTCCCAATCTCACAAAGATGTTTAATCTATGATGGAAATGAGTGGGAGGGCTTTGGCTAAGCTCACAAGGTTGCTATGTCAATGAAAATGGCCAAGAGAGTGAGCTTGAGCCGGCCATGGAGCATAAATAGAAGCCCCCACGAAATAGTGTCGTTGGCTCAATTATTGGGCTGACTGCGCATCGACCGGACGCTCTGGTCAGACGCACCGGACGCAGCACCGGACGCCCCGACCGTAAGTATCGGACGCGTCTGTTAGAAACTGACCGGACTCTGAGCCTCAGCGTCCGGTCGTTTACAGTAAGCACCCACGCTCGACCGGACGCGTTCGGTCACTTCGGACCGGACGCTGCCAACGTCCGATCAACTGAACAGCCGAACACCATTTTTTTGATTCACACCGGACGTGTCCGGTTCGCTGAGTTCATCGCCAAATACCGGACGTGTCCGGTCACCATACCGGATGCGTCCGGTCACTCTGTAACCAGCGCGACTAAGTCCTTTTCAACTCTATCTTCTTCACCCTTGCTCAAATGTGCCAACTACCAAGTGTATCACCTTGTGCACATGTGTTAGCATATTTTCACAAATATTTTTAAGGGTGTTAGCACTCTACTAGATCCTAAATACCTATGCAATGAGTTAGAGCATCTAGTGGCACTTTGATAACCGCATTCCGATACGAGTTTCACCCCTCTTAATAGTACGGCTATCGATCCTGAATGTGATCACACTCACTAAGTGTCTTGATCACTAAAACAAAATGGCTCCTACAATTTATACCTTTGCCTTGAGCCTTTTGTTTTTCTCTTTCTTCTTTCCAAGTCAGAGTACTTGATCATCACCATGGCATCACCATCATCATGTTATGATCTTCATTTGCTTCACCACTTGGAGTGTGCTACCTATATCATGATCACTTGATAAACTAGGTTAGCACTTAGGGTTTCATCAATTCACCAAAACCAAACTAGAGCTTTCAATTGCATATATTGTAAAGTCAAAACAAGTATAAGGAGAAAAATGCCATACTCTTAGATCAAAATATGCATGTGTGTGGAACATGGTATGAATATACTCCTAAGAGAGGTCACACTCTTAGAACATAGGGCATTTATTTAGTAAAAATGGAAGGCATGTTTTTGCGTACTCCAATGTAGAAGCAGCATGTATACATGGCGTGTATGTGATCTTGATCTTGGGAGCATGATAAATTTCTCAACAAGGGTCAACAAGGTTTAACCAAATTCAATACAATAGCGAGTAACATATGTAGAAGGTTTAAAGCATATATGATCATCATATATGGCATTGGTAGGAATGTTCTCACCATTGAGGAGTGTGTAAAACTGTGGTTTTATAACATTATTACAAAAAAAACCTTCAATCACTTTGAATAGGAAAGGTAGGATTTCTAAGCCCGAACTGTATAACACTTCACAACAACTTAGTCAATATAATTTTTCTATAAAATATTTTCCCACAAGCATAAGTATATGTATAAGGAATAAACTTTATGCAAGCTTCTAACTCAAAAATGTTAATAGCATGTCACTTTTCAAGATTTTAACTTAAGTGTATCTCTATTTTTTGGCTCATTAATAGTGGAAACCGGATTTGGTGACACCTATACAACAAGTAAATGCTTATGGTATATTATTTGCAACATGATGCAAATATAAGATGTCCTGAATGATTTAATTCAGATCTTTTAGTATGTGGATATGAGGATTGAGTATCAATATGTGACATTCTCTTCAGATTCCTGGCATTCTATGTGTTGTATGAATCTTCCCCAGTGCCTGGAATTATCCTCAAATTATGATCAACATATGGGCAGTGTATAAATCCCTTGTAGAGATCCATAGTATTCTATGAATGATGGATAATGATACCTCATTAGGATTCCCGATGCCCATTGATGTATGATGGGTTGGTGATATCGGTATGTGAAAACACACTCAAAGCGTTCATGAGAAATATTTGGTTGAAGTCAAAGTATTACGTACCAAGGGGTTGCTTGGTTCCTGACCTAGGAATCTTGCATAGGCTAGGCATAGCTCCCAGGTGTTTGCTTTCAAGCACCTAGGGCTGGATGCACCTGCCCGGGCGAGATCCCCTAGGCCATAGCACAATCTAAACAACCCCTAATTGCAACGGAGGGAGCTATATTAGTGCAACTTGATGAATATGGATTAATGGTTGCACTATGTAAAGCTGCATGACACCAACTAAATGATGGTAAATTTTAATTATGTTTTGGTAGGTCATGCTATTAATTTGGTTCTTAATAAGAGATTCAATCAGATCATTATTGGTATGAAAATAAGGTACTCAATATTGTATTTCCTAGAAACCAAACAATTCCACTTCCCATGTCTTGGATAATTTGCTTTAAATGAAAGATTTTGAGCCATGAGTTTGGTAGAATTGTGTTTCTTATGACTTCGAGACACACATGAGACTATATTTCGTAGATGCAGTGCAAGATGATCCATAAAAATTGCTAAGTAAAATTCATTGACCTGCATTTAGAATTTGAAAGCAAAAGGGCCTAAAATTAAACTCCATTGGGGCACTAAAATCTATGGATCTAGAGAATTTGTGTCCAATAGAATTGATAATAATTATCATGTCATCCCTAAGGTTGAATGTCTGAGGTAGTTGTGCCAAGTCTTGATTGCATCGAGAGAATTATTTTGTATGCAACATTTGATACATGTTATGTATGTTGAGTTTAGTCCAATTGAGAGTGTTTCGTTTAAGTACTTGATTTGTAATATCCATTGTTAAATGGGAATACTCCCTTTGGTTATCATGTTGGGTTTCGGTATGAAAACCATTTTGGCAAATATATCTCTATTGAATTGGGTACATTATGAATTCATAATTCAATAGTGGATTCTTGAGTACCAGTAGACAGTATGATAGTAGCACGACCAAAGCTAACCATCATGACATCACGTCCAACTGTTATCAAAATATTTCCTTATCTCTCTGTAAGAGTTTATGAATATTTTGCTTCCCTAAGTATAAAGTTTGTGGTGCAACAGTCTACTAGCCAAAGTTTCTCTTTGTATTTAGATCGACTCCTATAGAAATCCGATAATCTTGAGTCAAATTTTGTATTCGGTACAACATTTGGTGATATTCAAGAACATTATTTACATTCCCTATGATATTGCTATCTTTTTGAAGAAACTCAAGGACACATATGCATGCTCCATTTTCCGTTCTTGCTCTCACATCTAGAAACCCAATTGAACACCATTGTTATCAGTGTCAGCCGAAGACAATCAAGGAAGAAATGGCCAGACCAGGCCATGTTAGTTTGATCTTTAGCATACACAAATGCTAATTAGCTCATGACTGAATCTTAATCTTTGCCTCAACATGATTACTAACTCAATCTTATGTGGAGTTCGATAGTTATGGTCTAATCAGAACTAGGTGATGACATAAACGCTTCTGAAGTATATATTGTCTAAACTTTTATTTGTAGCATTATAGGACCAGAGCTGACTCAAAAAATATTGGGCCTGTTTGATTGGATGGCTATCCCTAACCATGCTCTACTAAGCCAACTTTCAGTTGGCTGTTTGGAGCCCGAAGGCAGGCTCTAGAGAAGCCACCGACTAACCCCTAGCCTGGCTCCGGGGAAAACGCAGAAGTCTTGTCATCCCCCGTCGCGATCTCCTCCTTCGCCTGTCATGCGCGCTGCCGTCGTCCACCCTCCGCGCGCGCCGTCGTCCTCCACCCTCCGCGCGCCATCGTCCTCCACCCTCCCGCGCGCGCCATGGTTGAAGGTGCACCAGATCTCGTCGCCGGAGAAGAACGCGAGCACCCTCGCCGGAGTCGCCGTCGACGGTCAGGACGGTGGCGGCATCGAATCGGGGCAGGAGCGCTCGCTGGAGCTGGACGGCCGCCGCACTGGCATCTCCGTCGACGGTCAGGACGGTGGCGGCATCAAATCGGGGCCGGGACGCTCGCTGGACGGCCGCCGCACCACATCGCTGTGAATGGCGGACAGGGAATCCCGTCGAGGGCTCGAGGCGTCGCCGCGTGCCTCCCGATTCCAGTCCGCCTCCGCCAGCGGGCAGCGACAACTCGGCATGAGCACAGCACGGGCCCGCGGCGTGTTCCTCTTTTCTCTTCTGGATTTTGCACCCACGGACTGAGCATGTGGCTCTCTAATTTTTATTTGTGTTTTCTAATACGACTGTACAGGTCGCTGTATTTTAGTTTTCGGAGAAAATTAATGTCGCATGTCGCCCTGCTCGGCCTCATTTACCAAGATGGTCTGGCTGTGCTCGCCGTGCTTGCTTTCATGCTCGCCCTGCTGCTCGTCGTGCTCGCCCAGCTCACGCTGGTCGCCTTGCTGTTGGCGTGTGCTGTGGTTGCCGAGGATGCTCACCACTTATTCGACGAAATGCCTCAAGGGGGTAACTTTACCAATTCGGAGATGGTTACTGTATCAAAATAAACCAGACAACCAGACACATCTTGGGGCTAGCCAGGCTTAAACAGCACAGATAACCAAACAGCCAGGGGTTGGCGGCTTGGTGGGAGCAGATTAAGGCTGCCCATGCTAAGATTCAGCTAGGCTAGAAGTTGGTCAGGAAACCAAACACACCAATTATAGTTACCACCGGCTATGGAAAGGACTTAACGAATAATTTTAGGTTCGGTGGACTTTAACTTGTATGCCAAGTTAGAATGTTGGTTGTGCCGATATCAAATTCAATCAGGCTAGTCGCATGCGGCATTCATCTCGCACATACTATATTCTGCAGGCCGGCACAGCAATCTTAAATAATCTTCTGCTTACCGTGTCCACCAATCCTTGGAAGGTCAATACTAACCCCACTTATCCTTGAGCGTCAAGAAATCAAACGCACCCCGTATATTATATGAAAAGGACACAAAAGCAGGCTATTCCTTCTCGATTGTAATAACCCGATCAACCAAGGCCGGCCACCAACACCGTACCTCCCCGGCTGGCCTGCTGCTTTTCTCCGGAGCTAGGCAGGGACGACTGGACTGCAATCGAGATCATAACAACTAATCCTAATCCATGTACATATAACTCCCGGTCCCTGGCAACCATAGAAGGTATGGAGTTCTTTCCTTTCACTGTTAATATGAGTGTGCCATCATATCAAAAGATTGTTTGTCGATCGGTTTTGCCTGTGGAAATTTGTGTCGAATATTGAGTTTTTCTCTTTTTTTCTCTGCCCATTTTCGTCATTATGTCTTCTGACTTTCTGAGGAGCTCTGCTTGATGTTTTGATGACCGTTGTTTGGCTTTTGGATTTTGATATGAAAACAGGCAAAATACTACTTATTCGAACTTATAATTAACATGATCTCTGTTGTAGCTCCGCATCCCAAATGAGCGGACACCGCCCATGAGAGCAGGACTACAACAAAATAAGAGTTAATTACGGGTGGCTAACACTGAAACCCAAGAAAGTCCATTTCCGACATTCAATTTGCATTGTGGGCTGATTTTCAACTCTGAACTACGAAATCAGGTACAAAGGCCCTCCAACTGTTGACAGCAGATAAATTTGGTCGTGTTTTTCTGTTTTGTAAGAGAAAGTAAAAAAAATATAGTGTAATATCTAAAAATTCATAACAAGGAAAATATGAAACCAGTATAATTTTATTCTAAAAATGTTATCTATCTGTTTGTGCTTTATTTGAAGTTATTTGAATCTTACTTGTTTATATTTCTAGTGTTCTATTGCCTATAGTCACACATATTATTTATTTCAATTACCATTTTATGTTCTAGTTTATGTTAGTCACGTGACTAGTCGATTCCATGAAGTTTGAGGAACTGCCTTGTTTGAAACCTATAACCTAATCATCAGGCAATCCATATAAAGCAAAGCGCTTACTATGCAAGTCTAAATAGGATATATGCATGTGATGGAGCATGACATCTGTGAGGTTGGTGTCGTGTACCACATATTTCTGTAAACTCATATGGCTAGATATAGTGCAAAACAATAATTTAAATAAATAATGAGCATAACCACGAGCAATAGCACAATAAGAACATAAATATATAGGTTTGAAATCACTCTAAATAGATCACTAACCAATAGATAACATTTTTAGAGAAAAATTGGTACTCATTCATTATTTTGTTATTTGAAATAAGTTCGTTATGAATTTTTAGAGATTAAACCAAACTTATTTTTAGAAAATAGAAAATCACCCAAGAAACCAGCTAGAAGGCCAATTTTGTCAGGTTTCAATAGTAGAAGATTGTCTGGCACCTGGCTTTATAGTTTATGGTTGAAAATTGGACTGCCATGTAAATGGAGCTGCTAGGTTGGTTAAAGGACTTTAACCCTAGCTTGTTTGATATGGGCACCGGCAACATTTTTCAGCAACTCTTTAAGTCTAAAAAGCACAAAGTAGATATCTTTTGTTGTTAACATGTAGATGGAGATTGCTACGGGTGCGATGAGTTCCCTCCTCCTCAAGATGGCAGAGCTGCTTACGGATGAATACAGTTTGCAGAGAGGCCAAACGGGCGATGTCATGTTCCTGAAAGCCGAGCTCGAGAGCATGCAAGCTGCAATGGAAAGGGTGTCGGAGGCACCTGTAAATGACAACCAGGTTAATATATGGGCAAGTGAGGTGAGAGAGCTGTCCTACGACATCGAGGACAGCATTGATCAGTTCATGGTGCGCGTTAATGTACATCCATCAGCCACACCGGAGCCGGAGGGATTCAAAGGTTTAATTGCTAGGAGCTTGAGATTGTTGACAGAAGCCGAGACTCGGCATCAGATTGCCACAGAAATCAGAGATATGAGAACCCTAGTCAAAGAGGTGGCTGTGCGCCGCAATAGGTACAAGGTTGACAGTTCTGTCACCACACCTTCTGCTGCTCCAGGAATTGACCGTCGTTTGCACGGTATCTATGAAGAATCAGCAAAGCTCGTTGCAATCAGTGGGCCAAGAGAAGAGCTAGCCGAATTGCTAATGGTTCGTGAGGGCACATCCAAGAAACTGAAAGTGATCTCTAATGTCGGAGTTGGCGGTTTGGGTAAGACGACTCTTGCTAATGTGACGTACCGACAGCTGAAGGGGCAATTCGAATGCAATGCTTTTGTGTCAGTGTCTCTCAAGCCTGATTTGAAGAGGATTCTAGGCAGCATACTCCGTCAAGTCTAGCGAGCAAATTTACACTAATGTTGAAACGTGGGATGTTGTGGAAATCATCAATAAAATCAGACAAGTTCTCGAGAATAAAAGGTAACAACACATTAGTCAACATATATGCGCACTTTAGACATGTATTCTGTCACGTCATGTTGCGCACATAGTTTCTTAATTTAAACATGCAAAAATTGTGAGCATTATCACTGCAGCATTAGTTCCTTTCCAAATGTTGGATTATTATTTCATTCCATTTACATGTTATTTATTGTTTCCACGGAAAAGTTGCATGCAGTCACATTGCTAACATGTTCTTACACAAAACCACAGGTACTTTATTATAGTTGATGATATTTGGGACGAATCAGCTTGGAATTTGATCAATGATGCACTGGTTGATAACAACTGTGGTAGCAGAGTGATCACAACAACTCGTGTAGCTGGGGTTGCTGCATCATGCTGCTCTCTTAATGGTGGTACAGTCTATAAACTAAAACCTCTTTCCCATGATTACTCCAAGTTGTTCTACGAAAGAATATTTGGTCATGAAGATAGTTGCTACCCAGAACTGAAAGAAATATCTGAGAAAATGTTATGGAGTGCCATTAGCCATCATCACCATAGCTAGTCTCTTGGCTAATAAACCAAGGAATATAAATCAGTGGGACATTGTGCATAGTTCCATCGGTTCTGGAACTGAAAACTTTCCTAGCATAGAGAGCATGCGACAAATATTATCTATCAGCTATTATGATTTACCATCCCATCTAAAACCTTGCTTGCTGTACCTAAGTATTTTTCCAGAGGATTACACTATTTTGACAGATCAATTGATACGAAGATGGATATCCAAAGGCTTTATCCATGGTAACGATGTTGAAACATTACATAAGCTTGGTCACCATTATTTCAGTGAGCTCATCAACAGGAGCCTTATTCAACCGGAACACATTAATACTCATGGAATGGTAGAAGCTTGCCGTGTGCATGTGCATGATATGGTGCTTGATCTCATAACATCATTGTCAACCAAAGAAAATTTTGTCATTGTCACATGGTCACAAGCTCACACACCTTCCAAAGAGGATTCGTCGATTTTCCCTCCATAATAACAGTAATGAAGAGCTCACCAGAACAGAGGTGACCATTAATTTGTCCCACGCGAGATCACTTATTGTGTTCCCTGGTGCTGTTAGCCTGATGTCTCCCTCTCAAGCTTCCAAGTTTTGCGAGTATTGGACTTAGAAGGTTGTCGTGACCTGCAGAACCAGATCAGTGGTGTTGGGAGTTTGCTTCACTTACAGTATCTAGGACTAAGGGATACAGGTATTACCAACCTCCCAAAGGGACTAGAGAATCTAAACTATTTACAAACCCTGGACTTGAAGCAAACAAGCATAATTCATTTACCTTCAACTGTTGTTCGACTAAGACGACTCATGCACCTATATATTGAACCATCAGTGGTGCTACCACCTGGGATTGGTAACATGGAGTCTCTACAATTGCTGTCATCGGTTGGCGTCAGTAGCTGTGCAAACTTCACAAAAGAATTAGGCAGTCTAACAGAACTAAGAATCCTCCATATTTCACTTGATGGCACATTGCATGAGAGCCACAAGAATCCTTTGGTCGATTCGTTATGCAATCTGAAGAAAATCCAAGAACTACACATTGATTCTACAGGAATATCCAACGAGTTCATTGTGGATTTAGCATGGTTTCCCCAGTATCTCAAAAGTTTCTTAGGAAGCGTGCCTAGATTGCCAAGGTGGATGAGCCCCTTGCTATCAGATCTGACCACTCTGGTCATTACACTCAACATGATACGACAGGAGGATCTCCAAAGTCTTGGAGGCTTACTGTTTCTACAGTTCCTTTGTCTTACTATTGATTCTGCTGAAGAAAGGATCATCATTAGCACTGATCAAGGAAAATTCCATTATCTATCTGAGTTTCACTTCCATAATGATAAAATGGGGCTTATTTTTGCACAAGGGTCTATGCAAAATCTTAAAACCCTTGAGGTAACATTTAGAGTGAGGGAGAGAAAGGATGCATATGGTGATTTTGATCTTGGCTTGGAGAACCTCTCTTCAGTGAAGCATGTCATCGCTAGGATTCACTGTACAGGTTCCACAGTATGTGAGGTGGAGGAAGGCAACCGATTTGAATCCCAGCCATCCAAAGCTTGAGGTGATAAAATATTACGAAGATGAAATGTTGGAGGACGGACAACACTGGAATGGAAAAATTTTGGTACAGGAGGACAACGAGAAAGTACTATACCCACATTCCTGTTTACAGTTACCATGTGTTTCAGAGTTCTGTCATACATTTTGTTTACATACCTTCTTTTCCATTGATAAATAAGGGGTGGATACTCTTGGTAGTGAAAGCATTTTATTGCCAATACCATATCAAGTGTTAAGTTAAAGCTAGTTCTAAATAAATCTTTGCAATTGCCAATTCTTTTGTTAATCCCAAAGCAGTTCCAAAATAAATTGAATTAAGTCCCACTATCAAATCCCACCATAGATGAACCCTAATTACTTATACAGTGCTTCCATGTACAAAAGTCATTGCCATATTAAGAGAATAATTAAACTTCTTTTCAGATAAAATAACCAAAATTATAGTTTGCCAGCCCTAAATAATTTATTTGGTGTGTTGGACAATTGCAAGAGGATAGTATATGAAATTTGCAGTATAGATTGAAGAGATACTAGTTCCATAAACAACAACAACAACATAGCCTTTTAGTCCCCAAGCAAGTTGGGATAGGCTAGAGTTGAAACCCACCAAGAGCCCCAAGTCACGGTTCAGGCACTTCAATAGCTGCTTTACAAGCCCTCCTATTCAAATATAGATCTCTAGCTATATCTCAAGCTTTCAAATCTCTTTTTATTATCTCCCCATGTCAATTTCGGTCTTCCTCTACCTCTCCTCATATTATTAGCTTGGCTTAGGGCTCCACAATGCACTGGTGCCTCTAGAGGTCTCCTTTGGACATGGCCAAACCATCTCAACCGATGTTGCACAAACTTTTCTTCAATTAGTGTTACCCCTAGGCGATCACGTATATCATCGTTCCGAACTCGGTCCATTCTTATGTGACCACAAATCTATCGCAACATACATATTTCTGCAACACTCAGTTGTTGAACATGTCAAATCTTTGTAGGCCAACATTCTGCTCCATACAATATAGCCGGTCTAATCGCCGTTCTATAAAACTTGCTTTTTAGCTTTTATGGTACCCTCTTCTCACATAGAATGCCAGAAGCTTATCGCCACTTGATCCACCCTGCTTTGATTCTATGGCTAACGTCTGCATCAATATCTCCATCCCTCTGTAGCATCGATCCCAGATACCAAAAGATATCCTTCTTAGACACTACTTGACCTTCCAAACTCACATCTCCCTCCTCCTGTGCAGCTCCGCCAAAGTCGCATCTTATGTATTCGGTTTTAGTTTTGCTCAATCTAAAACCTTTAGACTCAAGAGTCTGCCGCCATAATTCTAGTTTCCTATTTACTCTCGTCTGGCTTTCGTCCACTAACACTACATCATCAGCGAACAACATACACCAAGGGATATCCCCTTGTATGTTTCTGGTAACCTCATCCATTACCAAGGCAAAGAGATACGGGCTTAAGGTTGACCCTTGATAAAGTCCAATTTTAATCGGGAAGTAATCTGTATTACCATCGTTTGTCCGAACACTAGTCACAACATTATTGTACATGTCCTTGATGAGGGTCACGTACTTTGATGGGACTTTATGTTTGTCCAAAGCCCACCACATAATATTTCTTGGTATCTTGTCATAAGCCTTCTCCAAGTCAATGAAAACCATGTGAAGGTCATTCTTCTGCTCTCTAAACCGCTCCATAACTTGTCTTATTAAGAAGATTGCTTCTGTGGTTGACCTTCCGGATATGAAACCAAATTGGTTTGTTGATATCTGCGTCGTTCCTTGCAGGTGCTTCTCGATGACTCTTCCATAACTTCATAGTGTGGCTTATCAACTTATTTCTCCGATAATTAGTACAACTTTGGATATCTCCCTTGATCTTGTAGATTGGTACCAATATGTTTCTTCTCCACTCCTTAGGCATCTTGTTCGATCGAAAGATATTGTTGAACATCTTGGTTAGCCATACTATAGCTATATCCCTGAGACATCTTCACATCTTGATTGGGATACCATCAGGACATATCGCTTTACCCCCTTTCATCCTTTTCAAGGCTTCTCTGACCTCCGATTCTTGAATCCTCCGCACAAAGCGCATGTTAGTGTCATCAAACGAGTCGTCCAGCTGAACGGTGATGTTCTCGTTTTCACCATTGAACAATTTATCAAAATACTTTTGCCATCTATGTCTGATCTCATCCTCCTTCACCAAGAGCTGCTTCCTCTCATCCTTTATGCACTTGACTTGGTTGAAGTTCTTTGTCTTCCTATCGCGAGCCCTAGCCATCCTATAAATGTCCTTCTCCCCTTCCTTCGTTCTTAAACGTTGGTAAAGATCCTCATAGGCCCGCCCCTTTGCCTCACTCACCGCTCGTTTTGCAGTCTTCTTTGCCATCTTATACTTCTCTATGTTGTCTGCACACCTGTCATGATACAAGCGTTTATAACACTCCTTTTCCTTAATAGCCTTTTGTACATCTTCATTCCACCACCAAGTGTCTTTCGAGTCGCATCCGCTCCCTTTGGTCACTCCAAGCACCTCTGAAGCAACCTTCCGAACGCATATTGCCATCTTCTCCTACATGCTGTTTGCATTGCCTTCATCCTTCCAAGGGCCCTCTTCAATGACCTTTTTCTTGAAGACCTTTGATGCCTCCCCTTCTAATTTTCACCACTTCGTTCTAGCATCCCTAGCTTGTTTGTTCCCACGAGCTTGCATCAGAAAGCGGAAGTCAGCCACCACCAACTTGTGTTGAGCGACCACACATTCTCCAGGTATCACCTTATAGTCTACGCATGTTCGTTTATCCCTCCTTGTAAGGACAAAGTCGATTTGACTAGAGTACTGACCGCTACTAAAGGTCACTAAATGGAATTGTCTCTTACAAAAAAAAGTGTTAGCTATCATCAGATCAAAAGCTATGGCGAAGTCTAAAACTTCCTCTCCCTCCTGGTTCCTACTACCATATCCGAAACCTCCATGAACCGCCTTGAAACCTGCGCTTGATGTACCCACATGGCCATTAAGATCACCTCCTATAAAAGTCACTTAGCACTCTCATCGTGGCCTACTTGGGGGGCATACGCACTAATTACGTTTAAGACCATATCACTAATGTAGTTCCACTAAAGTTTGCTCATTATCTTTAATCCAGGTCATCCTTCAAAGAAGAGGGCCATGGGGTGGAGATGGAGGTAGCACTCGTGACATCATGGTGGCACCCCAAAGTCTGAAACAGTTTTTCTTACCTTGACTGATATGGGAGGGAACACAGCATGCCATTTTGGGGTGGTGTTGGTGGGATGATCCGAACGGTGAGTGCGCTTGAATAATTTTTTTCTTTCGTTTAAAGGAGTTCTTTTGCACTGGGTAGCATATGTACATCTTTCTTGATTGAATCATATATATCATGCTTATAATAGCTTAACAGTTAGATGGCACGACACAACCTATGCACAGTTTAGAACACAATAGTTCCCAAGAACCCTAACAAATTTGCGTGGCTGGGAAAGGAGCTTGTGGCTACTGATGGATGCTGTGATTGATGCATCTGTGACTTTGGGACAAATAACAGGCATCTGGGGCAAACTTAGGAGCATAAATCCATTTGTATAGTGCTTTGAGAGGATATGCAGTTTGATTGTTCTCTTTTTTCTTCATCTGCAGATTGATCTTGCCCCTTCAGAGTATGTGATGGAGGTTTCTGGGACTTATGGGCTATGCTCTCCTCATCCGGACGTTGTTATAACATCACTCACCCTGGTGACTAATTTATGCAGCTATGGACCTTTCAGCCAACCGACAGGAACCCCATTTCACACTCGAGTAGACAATAGTGCCAGCATTGTTGGCTTCTTTGGGCGGTCTGGGATATATCTTGACGCAATTGGTGTTTATGTTCGCCCTTCTGAATTATAGCTACTGCTTTCTTGTATCCTTTGGCTAACTGTTGTGGTTAAACTACAAGATGCATTATTGAGGATTACATCTCATCACTCTCCAATTTTTTAGATGATGAATATCCCAGGTGGATCTACATATGAAGTTGCATAGCCCTGTCTTTGTTAGAATACTTGCAATAGCAATATAATGAAAAAAGTTACAAGTGTATCAATATTCAAAAACCTTCTCTAGCACAATTTGACGGTATTTGTATACCACAATCCATGATTAGCATGTTAAGAGTTGATTTTAGCTTAACAGCCTTGACCAAGAAAACAGGGGTCACAACCCCACCTACACGCACATGATCGGAAGCGTGCCCAAAGACCAATTCCTTGGCCTAGGTCCTCCATAGCCACAGAAATATAGGGTGTTAACTAAATTATTCACTTAGATAATTACCTTTTAAACATCCCTACCTAACGATCAAGGTTTTGGGCCAAGCAGGGCCTGGAGACCATCAACTCCCGTGCTGCATGCATCCACTGAGCAGGCACGAGGATTTCAGCTGCTCTAAAGGGACATCTTCATGTTAAGTTCAGTGCTAATAAATCTTGTATTAGGTGTGTTATTAATCAATTACGTGTAGCCCCAATACCATGTCCACATTACTAATTGAGGATCAAAGTTTGGCTCTGTTCATTATGTTTATGGGTTAATTCAACTTATGTTTGTCCCGGTAGCAGTAATTAGTACCCTTTCATGTTAGCCGTGATGATTGTTGAAGGGGAATCGTCCGAAATCTGAAACCCAAAACTGTTCCCCAACTTTTCCCCAAAGACCCGAGAAAGCAAATTGCCAATTTGATGCGATTCCATGTAGGGATTATATAGTACCTTAGGGGCTGAAGCATTGGCGTTGCCACCGTGGCAACTTCCCTGTTTGCGGGTAGCTCATGGCATCAGGCCACCGCACACGAGCATCAGGCAACACCGCTTTGCTGCTCACTTCAGTTGGACCGCGTGATGCCGAGCGCTTGCCAGCACCGTGTCGCAGATTGGCTCCATCCGCTCTACCCTCCAATGCGACAGTTCCGCGCAGCGACGTGGAGACGGCGAGGCACGAGCGCGACGTGCTGACGCCGCTCCACCGGAGCAGCGAAAGGCATCAGTTCGCCGCGCGCATTCGTCGCCGCCGCCGCCGCCCTCACTCTCTCTGCTGCGTGAAAAGAGGAGGGCAAAAATGACAAAGGACGGTCGAGATTGCATCGACACATTAGTTGGGCCAAAGGTTTTGGGCTGTTAGCCTCTCCGGGCCGGGAGGGGTGGTCGGTGAGGCGGCGAGGTTGCCTCAGCCGGGTAACAATTATCTTTTCTTTTTCTTTGATTCTCCGCTTTCTGGGCTGCTCAGTATGGGGCTATGGGGAAAACTCCTTCATATGCCTTCATTGGCTGAATTTGAGTTAAACTTGGGTTTTTACTTCAGTGGAATATAAGATATATTTGCACTAACTAATAGATATAATAAGCACATGCCACACCCAAGTGTCTAGGTTGTGATAGCGACGTCATATTTCTTTATAGAAATGATTCTCTGCTACTCTTAAAAACTGATGAATGTAGTGCACATCATCTGCAAAATATTCTTTCTTTGTACGAAGATGCTCGGGCCAAAGTATCAATAAGGAGAAACCATCAGTCATGTTTAGTAGGAATACAAAAAGTTCAGAAAAATCAATTGATGGCAGCTTTGAGTATCACTTCGGAAGCACACGAAATGAAAAGTATTTGGGACTTCCAGTTTATATGGGGAGATCAAAAAGAAGAACTTTTGAATATTTAAAGGAAAGAGTTTGGAAAAGAATACAAGGGTGGAAGGAGAAGTTATTATCGAAAGCTGGCAAGGGTGTTCTTGTTAAGGCGATGGCACATGCCATTCCAAGCTATACAATGTCATGTTTTGATCCGACAAAAACTCTCTGTGATGAGATTAGCAGCATGATATGTAGATTCTGGAGGGCTCAGCAAGACAAGGAAAATAAGATGCATTGGTTATCCTGGGAGTTACTATGCTGTAGAAAGGAAAAGGGTGGCTTCGATATAGAGATCTTCATCTTTTCAATTTAGCGATGCTCGCAAGACTAGGTTGGCATCTTCTTCTAAATCCATACTCTCTTTGCGCTCAGGTTCTGAGAGCTAAATATTTTTCTGATGGCGACCTATTGTCAGTGGCAGAGAAGCATGGAATTTCATATTCATGGAGAAGTATTGTTCGAGGGGTGCAAGCAATAAAAGATGGTCTGATATGGAGGGTTGGAGATGGCACTCAGATTAACATATGGAGAGACCCCTGGATCCCACATGGTGTTACTAGAAGACCCTGTACACCTAGAGGGCAAACAATTTTAACCAAGGTCTCTGATCTTATTGATCCAATGTCTGGTGATTGGGATAGAAGCTTGATAAATGATGTTTTCTGGGAAGTAGATGCAAAATACATTCTATTGATTCCATTGAAAAGTGGAATGGATGATACTTTGGCCTGGCATTTTGACTCAAAAGGAAAATTCTCAGTCAAATCTGCATACCACGTTTTGAAAGACAAAAATGATATTTTAAGAGGGAGGCAGGTAGGTGAAGCTAGTGCCATCTTAGATCATTTTTGTAACATTAATTTGAAGAAATTTTGGGAGCTTCGATGCCCACCGAAGGTGAAACTTTTTTCTGGAGGCTGTCACATAATAGTCTCCCCTCTGCATGAATATTCTACGTCAGGGTATGGACATTGATACACGGTGTCCTGTATGTTGGCGTCTAAATGAAGATGGTGGGCATTGTTTTCTAAAATGTAAATTTGTCAAGAAATGCTGGAGAGCTTTGAACTTGGAGCAACTTCGCCTGTCGCTGATCGACCTTAACTCTGCAAAACAGGTTGCCATCAAAATTCTTTCTCTAGAAGAGGATACAAAATTATTAGTCATTGATTTTCTTTGGGTCTGGTGGGATGCACGAAACAAAGCAAATGCTAGGGACAAAATGATGTCCACTGAGGAGATAGTGTACAGAGTACAGGCTATGAAATCTTTTGACAATCTTCATATACATGAGAAGGTTTTTAAGAAACAAAGTGGAAATTCTTCTTGGTCTCCACCTGCTGCAGATATCTTGAAGATTAATTTTGATGGAGCTTACTCTCAAAGAGAAAATAAAGGCGCATGGGGTTTCATTGTGAGAGATCACAGAGGGGCTACAGTGATGGCCAGTGCAGGAAGAATCAATGTGGTACATGATGCGCTAAGTGCAGAGTCCCAAGTGTGCCTTGCAGCTCTTTATACAGCAATAGACCAAGGTATATCTCATATCCTCTTGGAGATCGATTCATCGATTCTAGCCAGTCCCGTTCTTATGATTTTTCATCTAATGGTGTCTTGTTTAGAGAAGCCAAGTTCCTTATGTCTATGAATTTTATTCGGGCTGACATTGTCCATGTACCACATTCTTGTAATAGATGTGCACATGATCTTGCTCATCTTTGTTTGAATTGGGACCCAGATCGATCTCATGTTTGGATCGATCCCCTCCCAGAGTTTGTAACAACTTTGGGAGTTCGTGATGTTAACCAACCTCCCCAGAATTAATAAAGTACAAACCTTGCATTCAAAAAACTCATCGATTGAATGATACTTGAACTTATGATATGTGATTTTTTTTGTTAACAAGACATCTTTATCGCCCTTTTCATAAATAATTATCATTGTTTAAAGAGTTTGTATGTAATAATTAATATTTAATTAAATTAATTAATTTTGATAGAGCTTTTTACAGCGAACCTCAATGTTGTTTATGATAAACACTTTGCTTATAAGAGCATCTCCAAGAGTACCCAAAACAGTCTCCCAATCCAGGAATTTTGGCAAGATTGAAAAATTTCATCTCCAACAACTTCCAAACCCACCTTCCAATCTTTTGGCACTTGAAAAAAACCACCCCCACACACATAAAGCTACGCGCGCCTATCGTCGCGCCAATCTAGAGGTGGAAGGATGTGGGAAAGAAAAAAATTAGGATAGGGTTCCTGATGCAAGTGTACAAGAGAGAAATAAAGTATAAAGGTGGTTAGTGTGATTTAGAAATATTTTAGGATTCCTGATGTAAAATTACCATATATCTTTTAGGTGCGAGATTTTGAAAACTGTTGGAGTCGTAACTTTTTTATGTCTTCTAATATATTTTGCAAAGGTTGAAAAACCTATTTTTGGGGAGTATTTTTTTGATACTGTTGGAGATGCTCTAAGGAGCCTTAAAGCGTCGTTGTTACTCACAATGTAGGTGCTAGAGCTTGACATTGTTTAAAAAAATATATATTAACTAAGACCATCTCCAAGAGAGGTCTCCTGCTAAATTATGGTACAAATTATCAAAAACTCTCAATGGATCGCTACCAATTTCACTCATTCAATTCCGATAACAGTTGGTAGTATATATATGCTGAGAAACCCTAATTCTTTCTCCACCCAACCACAGACTCAGCCGCTCCATCTCTCTTCCTCTCTCTCTCTCTCTCGACGATCTCTCTTCCTCTTTCCCTACCGAGCACACTGAAACCCTAGCTGGCGACTCCGGCGGTGCGACTCCCGGTGGCGGGCCCAATCGCACCATGATGGAGGTCCGCTCGCGCGTTGGAGGCAGGTCACCGCGCGCCACGGCGGGCGGCGGCATGGACGCATGGGTCCGTCGCGGCCATGGCGGGCGAGGTCCACATCAGTCATGGCCCTAGCAGTGGCGAGGTCCACATCCGTCGGCGGCACGTGACGTGGCGGTGCTAGCCTGCGTGGCCAGCGAGCGGCGGCACGGGACGCGGCGGCGCTGGCCCAGCGCATCCCCGGTGGCGGCGGCGGGTGCGCCTCTTCCGGCCACGACACGGCGGCGGCGGCAGGATTCGGATCTCGCGAGGAGGGCCAAGATCCGGCGAGTGGGGTCTTGGATCCGGCGAGGAGCGCGCAGAACCCGTGAGCGGCGACGGCTGTGCGTCAATGT